GATAAAATACTTATATATGAAATTTCATCAACCTAGCTGTAACGGTACTCAAGTTATCGTGTTTACACACACACAGACACACACTACACAGACAGACAGACACACAGACATACGGACAAGATTGCAAAATTATGTTTTTCCGTATCAGTGAGATGTAAAACGTCGAGATTTGTAAAAATCTCGATTTTTTTTTTTTTGCACGATTACAAGACTCTCTATACTTCGTATATACGAGAAAGTAAAAAGTGTGTCGTGTAAAAATTGACTAAAATGACCTGAGGTCTATTTCGGACTACTCCAATGGCAGTTTTACAACACGAAATAAGGTTAGAATCTATCTAGACGTATATGAGATTGAGATATGAAAGAAAGAAAACACTGCTTCAAGTTTGCAAAATAATAATTTCATTGTTACCTCCCTTCAAAATTTACATTATAATACTAATAGTTTCGCTGTCTGTCTGACAAGAACGCTCTGTCTGACAAGAACGCTCTGTCTGACAAGAACGCTCTAGAGAAAACACAAGCAAATTAAAAACATGCATAGTATTTCGAAAAACGAAGTATGACGTCGACACATTTAGCATAGAGTTGAAAATAATCTCAAGGCGGAAAGTGCACACAGTAATATAATGACGTCATTGATTATCGCGTAAACATTGAATTAAAAAGGAAATTTTGTCTAATCTAAATGGTTTGCGTGAAGAGTTTCTTGCATACAATTCTTCGGGTAGGGGCGAAGCCCCACCCCCCGCGTAAGAACGTCTGAGCCCCCCCCCCCCCTCCCCAACTCAAAAGAAATTTCCTCATCGATACTCTATAATAAAATTACCGCCTAATTAATGTGTCTAATCTAAAAAGTGGTTTTCTTGCAATGGGACGGTAGACATGTTTTTTTGGGGGGGGGGGGGGGGGGGGGTGGAGGGGTGGGGGGGTGTGTGTGTGTGTGGGGGGGGGGGGTGGAGGGGTGGGGGTGTGTGTGTGGGGGGGGGGGTGGGGGGGGGGTGGTGTGTGGGGGGGGTTGGTTTCAGTGTTTCTTTCAGACTTTTTCCTCCCCGGAGAGGGGTGGGGGTACTTGAAATTTTCGGGGGCGGGGGGTAGAATTTTCTGGGAGGGGGCGGACACTGGAAAAAGTATATAATTATATTTCGTTGAACGGGACGGTAGACATGTTTTTTTTTTGGGAGTGGGGGGTGGGGGTGGGGGGTGGGGGTGGTGTGTGTGTGGGGGGGGTGGGGTGGGGTGGTTTCCTCATCGATACTCTATAATAAAATTACCGCCTAATTAATGTGTCTAATCTAAAAAGTGGTTTTCTTGCAATTTCTTTAATGCAATTCTTCGCGTAGTGGCTAAGCGCAACACCAGTGTTTCTTTCAGACTTTTTCCTCCCCGGAGAGGGGTGGGGGGTACTTGAAATTTTCGGGGGCGGGGGTAGAATTTTCGGGGAGGGGGCGGACACTGGAAAAAGTATATAATTATATTTCGTTGAATAGGACGGTAGACATGTTTTTTGGGGGGTGGGGGTGGGGGTGGGTGGGTGGGGCTGGGGTGGGGGTGGGGGGTGTGGGGTGGGTGGGGGGTGGGGTTGGGGGTTGGGGGTAGGTGTGTGTGGGGGATGGGTTGGTTTTAGTTTAGAGAAAAGAGACAGCACTATCAACCTAGCGCCCGGTGTATCCTTCCTCAACGGGCCATTTTTCTCGTCTATAATAATAGTTTCGCTGTCTGTCTGTCTATCTGACAAGAACGCTCTGTCTGACAAGAACGCTTTGTCTGACAAGAACGCTCTAGAGAAAACACAAGCAATTTAAAAACATGCATAGTATTTCGAAAAACGAAGTATGACGTCGACACATTTAGCACAGAGTTGAAAATAATCTCAAGGCGGAAAGTGCACACAGTAATATAATGACGTCATTGATTATCGCGTAAACATTGAATTAAAAAGGAAATTTTGTCTAATCTAAATGGTTTGCGTGAAGAGTTTCTTGCATACAATTCTTCGGGTAGGGGCGAAGCCCCACCCCCCGCGTAAGAACGTCTGAGCCCCCCCCTCCCCAACTCAAAAGAAATTTCCTCATCGATACTCTATAATAAAATTACCGCCTAATTAATGTGTCTAATCTAAAAAGTGGTTTTCTTGCAATGGGACGGTAGACATGTTTTTTTTGGGGGGGGGGGGGGGGTGGAGGGGTGGGGGGTGTGTGGGGGTGGGGGTGGGGGGGGGTGGTGTGTGGGGGGGTGGGTTGGTTTCAGTGTTTCTTTCAGACTTTTTCCTCCCCGGAGAGGGGTGGGGGTACTTGAAATTTTCGGGGGCGGGGGTAGAATTTTCTGGGAGGGGGCGGACACTGGAAAAAGTATATAATTATATTTCGTTGAATGGGACAGTAGACATGTTTTTTTGGGGGGTGGGGGGTGGTGGAGGGGTGGGGGGGGGGTGGTGTGTGTGTGGGGGGGGGGGGGGTGGTGGTGTGTGGGGGGGGTGGTGGTGGTGGGGGGGTGGTGTGTGGGGGGGTGGGGGGTGGTGTGGGGGGGTGGGTTGGTTTCAGTGTTTCTTTCAGACTTTTTCCTCCCCGGAGAGGGGTGGGGGTACTTGAAATTTTCGGGGAGGGGGCGGACACTGGAAAAAGTATATAATTATATTTCGTTGAATGGGACGGTAGACATGTTTTGGGGGGGGGGGTGGGGGGGCGGTGTGTGGGGGGGTGGGGGTGGTGTGTGGGGGGGTGGGGGTGGTTGGGGTGGGGGTGGTGTGTGGGGGGTGGTGTGTGGGGGGGTGGGTTGGTTTTAGTTTAGAGAAAAGAGACAGCACTATCAGCCTAGCGCCCGTTGTACCCTTCCTCAACGGGCCATTTTTCTCGTCTATAATAATAGTTTCGCTGTCTGTGTATGTATCTATCTATCTGACAAGAACGCTCTGTCTGACAAGAACGCTCTAGAGAAAACATAAGAAAAAATTCAATCTGACAAGAACGCTCTAGAGAAAACACAAGCAATTTAAAAACATGCATAGTATTTCGAAAGACGAAGTATGACGTCGACACATTTAGCATGCAGTTGAAAATAATCTCAAGGCGGAAAGTGCACACAGTAATATAATGACGTCATTGATTATCGCGTAAACATTGAATACAAAGGAAATGTTGTCTAATCTAAATGGTTTGCGTGAAGAGTTTCTTGCATACAATTCTTCGGGTAGGGGCGAAGCCCCACCCCCGCGTAAGAACGTCTGAGCCCCCCCCCCCCCCCCTAACTCAAAAGAAATTTCTTCATCGATGCTCTATAATAAAATTACCGCCTAATTAATGTGTCTAATCTAAAAAGTGGTTTTCTTGCAATTTCTTTAATGCAATTCTTCGGGTAGTGACTAAGCGCGACACCAGTGTTTCTTTCAGACTTTTTCCTCCCCGGCGAGGGGTGGGGGTAATTGAAATTTTCGGGGGCGGGGGGTAGAATTTTCGGGAAGGGGGGCGGACACTGGAAAAAGTATATAATTATATTTCGTTGAATGGGACGGTAGACATGATTGTTTTGGGAGTGGGGGGTGGGGGGGGGGGGGGGATGGTGTGTGTGTGGGGGGGGGGGGGTGGGGTGGGGTGGTTTCCTCATCTATACTCTATAATAAAATTACCGCCTAATTAATGTGTCTAATCTAAAAAGTGGTTTTCTCGCAATTTCTTTAATGCAATTCTTCGCGTAGTGGCTAAGCGCGACACCAGTGTTTCTTTCAGACTTTTTCCTCCCCGGAGAGGGGTGGGGGTACTTGAAATTTTCGGGGGCGGGGGTAGAATTTTCTGGGAGGGGGCGGACACTGGAAAAAGTATATAATTATATTTCGTTGAATGGGACGGTAGACATGTTTTTTTGGGGGGGGGGGGGGGGGGGGTGGAGGGGTGGGGGGTGGTGTGTGTGTGGGGGGGGGGGTGGGTTGGTTTCAGTGTTTCTTTCAGACTTTTTCCTCCCCGGAGAGGGGTGGGGGTACTTGAAATTTTCGGGGGCGGGGGTAGAATTTTCTGGGAGGGGGCGGACACTGGAAAAAGTATATAATTATATTTCGTTGAATGGGACGGTAGACATGTTTTTTTTGGGGGGGGGGTGGAGGGGGGGGGTGGAGGGGTGGGGGTGGGGGGGGGCGGTGTGTGGTGGGGGGTGGGGGGTGGGGGTGGGGGGTGGGGGTGGTGTGTGGGGGGGTGGGTTGGTTTTAGTTTAGAGAAAAGAGACAGCACTATCAGCCTAGCGCCCGTTGTATCCTTCCTCAACGGGCCATTTTTCTCGTTTATAATACTTTCATTTCTGAACATATCCGTTTGTTAAAAACAATTTACACGTGTAGGCCCATATTGAATAATCGAACAGTTAAACACTTATAATAGAAATTAACGCGCAGTTGTAATAACAGACTATGTAGATCTACTTCTTGATGAGACCTAGACTAGATCTAATTTTTGGTTTATTTTGTAATTTTGTTGGAAAGTTTAGTCAGTTTTGAGTTCAGTGAGTGAAAGTGCTCATACCAATCTTATCTGTTGTCTGAGAAAGAGTTTAGTCTACTTTGCCAGTATCCATTTTCAGTGGCGTAGACCCCTCGGTATATATAAAAAGTATGAGGGGGGGGGGGGTGCAAATCGAAAGTTTGAGGGGGGGTGCAAATTGCAAATCGAAAGTTTGAGGGGGGGGGGTGCAAATCGAAAGTTTGTCCCCGGGTAAAAATTGGAACACCCCCTTGAGACGATCCTGGCTACGCCACTGTCCATTTTAATGTGTGCTTGAAAGGGTAACATGAAGAAATTTAACAACTGCATTTCAAATTTTGCTCTTGTTCTGAAACCATATGAGTTTTATTGTTGTTACGTAGTTTTGTAAAACTTCAACCCACATATGGTTGCCTCGCGATGCGATGCCGTTTCGTGAATGAAAGATAACTATTTGTTATCTGCCCGTTCATTGGTTCAAATTCTATTCCTGGGGAAAAAAGTATCCAATCCAATGAATCCTTCGTAGGAACATTGTTGTTGTATTAAAAAAAAAATACAACAAAATGGCGGCCAACACCGATGAGGAGCAGAGCTTAAAGGAATGTGAAGCGTATGTTCAAAAGCATAATATTCAGCAATTGCTAAAAGAATGCATTGTACAACTAGTGGTCAACAAGCCGGACAATCCGTTAGCATTCCTGAGGGATCACTTCGATCGTCTAGAAAAGGTAAGTAAAAATGATGTCTCTCTCTCTCTCCCTTACTTCTCAGTTCAATCAGTGTGCTGTGTGTAGTGTACTGCTAGCTAACTAGCTACACACTCGCGACACCCAGTTGTCAATAGCGCCGCGTGTGCATTGTACAGTGCAGTCCCTTCGTTAGGCTAAACAGTATCGGCTGCTAAACATAAAAACTTATTTATTATATTTAAGAAAAACTAATAGGCCTAGAATCTAGATCCACTTGTTTAAAATTTAAAAAATAGATCTAGAGATCTAGATTCTAGATCTAGAATCTAGATTTTAGATTTAATATCAAACCAACGTATTTCTTCAATAATAATTTTTTATTTTATAAATTTCAAACTTAGGTTAGGCCTAAAAATAAAAAAAACATTAAAAATTGTCAAATTGAACGATTTAAAAAACGAACATTTAAAATTATTTAAAAATACAATTAAATATATCTAGAATCTAGATCTACACTAGCTCTACATACTACATACTAGATCTACATAACATAGATCTAGATCTACATCTAGATTCTAGATCTAGGCCTACATTACAATAATACATAAAGTGTCATAAAGAGTCTAGATATCTATTATTATTATTACTAGACTGAAATCTAGATAGATCTAGATCTAGTCCAGATCAATTCTTTTGTTTAAGATTTTAAAACTAAAAATTAAATTATTTTAAAGTAGAGCCTATTTTATTTAAATTAGGCATATAAGCCTATAGTATATGGATCAATTTTAAAAAGTAGCCTAATAAAAATGCATGATTAAAATGTTACTGTTACACTTCTTTCATTAGCCATGTTTAATCTCTAGACTTAAGATCTAGATTCTAGATGATCTTTACTTTTAGCAGTTTTAATAGTAATTGATGGCATGTAGCTTATAATAATCTTTTTAATTAAGATTAAGTTTTCCTAATAAGGTTAAGTCATTGTAGTCAGTTTAAGATGTCTACTTTGAACCTTCAATCAGTAATTTCATAATTTTAGTTTGGCCCTATTTTAAATTTAACATCTAGAATCTAGTAGATCTATCTAGATTTTTTCTAATAATATTTGTACTACATTTCATATTCTTCATTTTACAACTGCTTATAGTTTTAAGAAAATGTACCAGTAGATTAGCCATCCACTTAGCCCTACTTGCATAATAAGTATTAAATTCCCATGGCTAGTATGACCAATAACATTTTTTCTCCACTAAGTAGGCTTTTTAGTATTGTTAAAAATTATACCAGCTATACTAAGTAGGTATGTTTAAGTTAGTTTAACAGATAAAATGAAACCAAATTACTCATTTCAGATTTTATTTTTCTATAAATTATGGTACATTCTTTTTGCCATACCATACAATCATCGCCCTCGGTTCATCACTCTTGATACTTTACTTGATTAGTATTTGTTAATTTCAGTTTGCTGGTCACTTATATATAATCATCTGCAATAATGGTGATAGACACCTTTTATATATTTAATTGAGTTTTATTTGATACTTAACATAGTCAAGTAAAACTTTGGCTAGTTATTTTACGTGTGCACAGTGTGCACCATTTAATTTAAATAGTACCAACCCTGAGTCTTAGGGATTATTATTGTGTCTTCAGTGGTTACCAAAAGGATTGTTGTTTTGTACTTGACTGTATTTACTGAGATAACTTTAATTAAAAGTAATCCATTTTAAAAGGACAAAATATCCAATTAATTTTCTTAACAACCTCACCTACCGACCTGTCACTATTTATCTTTTTATACAATGTTTAAGCAGTAAAAATTATACAATATATAATTGTATTTAATATCCCAGTACTTCTTGAACTGCTTTATATACCTTATGTATAGTAATTTCTAATTAAGCTAGCTCATCTGCTTTTTACATAATTAATATAATTACTTAATGAGATATCAGCTAGATAATAATAGATATGGCCTGCTGTTTAGTTATTTTCTTATTTGTCTTAACGCTAGACAACCATGGCTTGATCTATTTCATGGGTAGAACCTTGCCTTCAGTGTGTAGAACCTTGCCTTCAGTGTGTAGAACATGCCTTCAGTGTGTACAACAACTCTAGCAGACCAGCACCCCTGTGGTATCCCAGCATTGTTTTCCTTCACAAATTAACTTTGACACGCCCGTCTTCACGGTGGTTGCAACAGCACATTGTCTGCTATGCCAGTGATTCTGTTTTCTTCTTAGAGACACCCCATCATCTTTTCTCTTCCGTGTTCAGAACACATTAGAGATACCTAAAAAAAATAACACAAACCCCCAAAATACACCCCCTTTTTTATTTCCTGACAAAATGTATACACGCTCATCCGTGCAGTAGGTTAACCCCCCCACCCCCCCTTCACCCCTCTCCACCGTCTTTACCTACCCCTTGGGTTCGATAGCGAGTACAGAAATGTAAACCTACAAATATTCTGCTCTTGCTTGTTACAAGCCGTGCATGCATGCCATTTTCCCTCTCTCTTAAAAAATATACCTATAAAAAAAAACAACAAAAGTTAACTCTGACGCAGGTAGGGGATCCACAGAAGTGAGCAGTCATTTTTGTTTTTCAGAGTTGAGCTACCTAATTATAGGTCTATACTGTAGATCATGCCCCCCCCCCCCCCCCCCATTTCACTAATGGTTCCCTAATTAGCAGGTCTAGGCACACTGGAATGTTCTATCTTATGTTAGATTTTAACTCTCTAATTATAGGTCTGTATTGTAGATCATGGTACCCCCAATTTGCCCAATGTTCCCTAATGTGCAGGTCTAGGCACACAGGAATATTCTATCTTCTATCAGAGTTGAGCTATCTAATTATAATTATAGGTCTGTATTGTAGATCATGGTACCCCCAATTTGCCCAATGTTCCCTAATGTGCAGGTCTAGGCACACAGGAATATTCTATCTTCTATCAGAGTTGAGCTATCTAATTATAGGTCTGTATTGTAGATCATGGTACCCCCAATTTGCCTAATGGTTCCCTAATTTGCAGGTCTAGGCACACTGGGATGTACTATCATGTGTATATGTGTCTTTATCGATGCAATTTACATACGCGCTCTCACAGAACGATATGATTAAGTAGAAAAAGAATCTAAATGATTCGTTTATTGATTTGTCATATCCTCTTACAAGAAGTTTACCTACAAATATCGGTAATTTGATCTAAGTTTCTTTAAGGGTTTTTCCCGGGAAGGGGATGGCACTTGCTGAGACTGATTTGCCCAACCCCTGGTGTTCCATCGAACCCAGGTTAAGAACCACTGTAAAAAAAGCATTTTCGGGTGCGTGGAAATTAAAGGAGAACACGACATATTAGTTAATCGTAAATAAAAAGGTGGTCGGCGTGGTCGGGTCGGTAAAGCTCATGTTCGAGCCCTCGGGCAGATGAGGCTCTATAGCTGGGTACAGCAACTCATCTAGGAGAGGCTACTCCAAAATCAAACAACTGCTGCCTTGTTGTTTGTTCTTGGTTGGACAAAGGCCATGGAAGCAAATCAAAACAGAAAAGCAGGCCTATATGGCGCAGAACAGGTTGACACGTAATACTTAATTTGGTGTTGGAGGGAATCCCTTCCAACGTTCCAGTTAAGAACTTAAGAAAGAAGAAGAAAGACGAAGTAAATGAAAAGCTTAATGAAGAAGAAAGGGAGAGAAGAAGTAGTCCTGGTATTGGCTGGTAACCGCTGTTGTTGACACTTGATATTTTCATAGACAAATGCTGGCCATCAGAGTAATTGATTTTTTTTCTTACCACCCTCTGTTATTTTGTAATAGTGTTATCACACAAAAAAATGTCATCAACTAAAAACAAACATTAACAAAACTAAAACAAAGAAGCAAAACAACAACAATGCAGTATAAATACATTACGACTAACACGATTAAAACATATAGACATGGATTCATTCGAGGCAACTTAATTGGATTCTCCTGTTAACCTAATTTTTTTCGAGTTCCTGAAACTTGTTGCTGAAATGAAATTTGTTTTGAACTTGAAATACAAGCCTTATATTATATTGACAACAAAAACATTACCACAGCGCGTTTGTCCGTTGGAAGCAAAACCCCTTGAGCGCTGAGATTAGATCAAAAATGATTTTTTGCACTCAGTTATTCCCGTCTGTTTTAGGTAATTTTTAAACATTTTGCTAACCAATCAAATTTCTAGGATACGAAAGGGGAATCTTTCAGATATTTCGCTTTTGGAAAGGAGACATGTAACTTACGGGGGGGGGGGGGGGGGGGGGGGGGCGGGCGGGAGGAAGGGGGTATAATAATAGATATATCTTTCTATTTTTCTTTCCCGTGGGTAAAGAGACGGGGCGATGGACGTGTGTGTGTTGGGGGAGGGGGGGGGGGGGGCTGAAAGAAACATGACAGATGCATCCCTACCACACTCTTGGGTTTTGATGGGTGCATCTACTTTTCGACTCTAAGAAGTCTGTCTCCTATAACGGACATTCTCATTTCGTTGACGCTATAGAAAACTACACTTTTATAAGAAAATAACAGAACAGAGCCCGCCATTTATGGTAACAGAAAATAATACTATATTAAGAGATGGCAACAGGGAAATAATACTATATTATTAAGTGATGAAAGTAAAATAAGATGCTCCTTGTTAATTGGCGTTTGATTTGTTCGAGATAGCACATCTAAATGACAAACCCGCCGACTACAAATTTGATGCCAGTTAGGAATATTTCTGTTTTGCAATGCTGTAAATTAGCCAGTTACTAGTCCCGACTACCCCGGCAACCGTTTCTCTCTCTCTCTTCTCTCCCCTTTTAAAATGTATAATCTAGTGTCCGGAGTTGCTTGCCAATTTGGCGTCAGGTATAACGTCTGTGACGTTTCCTTTTCATGTGTGCTGGTCTTTCACCCCCTCCCGCCCCTCATGTGCTAGTGTATTCCCTCCTCCCGTGTCAAAGTGTTCCCTCCTTATGTGCTAGTGTATTCCCTCCTCCTATGTCAAAGTGTTCCCTCCT